GTCTTAGACACCTCTGGTTTAAACATAACATGAGGTTGTACAGAAGTCTATGGGACTCTGCAGTTCCCTCAATAGTTTAATGTCTTAATAAATACAACACAATGCTGATGTTGTAAATTTTGGTTCCACATTAGAGTCAAATAGGAGGATAAATCAGCTATGCTTTTCTTTGTAGCTGACAAGTAACTAGCCTATGAGCGTTCACCGTCCCTTGGTTTCTTAGTCAGATCTACTTCCTGTCTTCTTTGTTTGACATAATGATAGTAATGGGCCTCAGTCACACAGGCTTAAAGCCCAGCTGGTGACCAACTGACCACTAGTTGCAATAGAAAATGTGTATTCCCCAACCAGTTGTGAATGCTTGCTGTTGGTTGCTGTGAAATCGATTGTGAAAGCCATGTTCAGGGAGGCCTACATCAGGTCAGTGAGCGCCTGACAAACAACCAGTCACTAAGAAAAAAGCATATTTCCAGACCGGTTGACAAGTGGTTGCTGGAGATTACTTGAAGTCTCTAGTGTGAAATTAGTTACACAGAAGGTGCTGCACCAAAAACGTCCCTGTGACTGGTTTGAGTACAAACTGTGGTTTGTATGGGAAATGATAACTTGTCTGCAGATGCTCGCAAGCTTCCAAGTGAAAATTCAAAATGTACATTGGAAAACAGAAATGGAAATTATTTACTTTCAAAGTAAAAGTTGCCAACTATCTTTTCTTTGAAGGCAATTTCTGGTTTGCATCACGCTTTTTGAAGTTTAGCAAGGGCTCGGAGGGTAAATGGCAAATGTTTGCAGACAAGTCGGCGTCTTCAACATACAGCGCGGGCGACGACAGTAATCTGCTTTCAACCAAAGTAAAGTCACAAGGAGGTTTCTGGTACAGCACGCTCTTTGTGACCCTGGTCAGGAAATGCACTCATTATATGAAGCATAATGTGACACGATTTAAGAACTGATTTAAGCTGAACAAAATTTAGTGGTTCTCATTTTAAGTCTTTATGAGCAGTTTGGAGTACCGAAGCAGCGACTGAGATGATACAGTCATGAGTCTCAGTGAAGTCACCGTCACTCGAAAGAGACCCTGGAAAGAGAGAGAATTTTAAAGCGAAACAGAAGGAGAGCCACGGGGAGAGGGCACGCGTAGGTCTTACATAAAGCCCAGATGGTTCTAGGGAAGCGCATGATGGGGACATGGAAGGGTGGAGGGAAATAGAGAGCGGAATCTGTGCATCTGACTGAGTGACCGAAGGCTACAACACCTGGATGGAAAGATACAGATATTGGGGTCAGTCAAGGAAGCAAGGGGGGTCATGAAAAACACAAAGTGTTGCTTTTGCGCAGTGCAAACAGATGTGTGTGTATATAAAGTAGTTAAACCTTTTGTTTTTTACTACAGATGAGCCTAAAGTCAGCTTCAGTAAGCCCAACAATGATCTCCAAACACTATACATTTGCCTTATACGTTTTCTGATAAAGCACTTTTAAAGTGACGTATCTCAGTCTGCTCGTCCACATCTTCAAACAAATGTTGTGTTTTCCACATAGTGTTAATCCAACAATTGCTGCTGCTGGGCATCCATTTCTGGACAAATCCAGCAAGCCACAGGACCCAACAAAGCAGATGAAGGAGGCTTTACTGCATCTAAAAACGAGTCTGGAAAATGTATGCTATTAAAGCCCAACCTCTAAACATCTACATGTTAAGTGCTCTCAAATGGTTAATTTAGCTTTTGAGAGTTTAAGATGGTGACATCTGACATTTAATGTTACTTTTGGGAGGGTTTTATATTCAAAATGATAAAGGTACACTATATAAAAGTTCAAGTTGCCCAGTTAAAACTATAAATGCTCCCACAACTTTTATATGAATTGGTGGACTTGGATGGATGGAGACTGCTGCATGAAAAATAGTTTCTCATGATGCAAAAGAAAGATGGTGCCTCATAATTATCCTGCTGTCTGATCGATGAGGACTATTCCCTGTGATTAAATAGTTGCCTGCTTTTTCTTCAGAGTGATTTTAGGTGTGACCTTTAATCTTGTCTTGATGATACTGTTGTGTTACTAAGCAACCAGTCAGGTCTGGTTGCATGTTTCAGATAGCTGCAAATACTCTGAAATTTAATCCCAAGCATGTTGTTTTTATGCGCCCAGTCTCTCCTGTTTACAGCAAGTTAGCCAAGCTAAGCTACTGCTGGCTGTCCGTTTGCATATGGCATACGTTAGAGCAGTATCAGGTTTCTCATCTGACTGTGACCAAATAAGTGTGTTTCCCAGAAAAGGTCTGACCTAATTGGATACCAATTCATTCCAATGTATTTTATTGCTACAAGAATAATCAGGTTTTTCACAGTACATAATGATTTTTGCATTTTAAATGTATGAACTTTGCACTGACACAGTGTCTGTTTTTCAATAGATTCATGTCCACTGCTTGTTTTCAACTTCAAATTCACTGTGAGAGAGGTGCGTGTGTGTGCGTGTGTGTGTGCGTGTGTGCGTGTGTGTGTGTGTGTGTGCGCGCGTGCGTGTGCGTGCGTGCGTCTGTCTTAAAACATCAGGTTGAACTTTTGAAGAGCTGACACCTAAGATTTAGGGGTCAGTACTATTCCTAGTGTTTTGTCTCTTGCTCATGTTTGTCTGGTCTCGGACACACAGCGTGTGTCAACCTGTGTTCGTGTGCATGTGCCTGTGTGTATCTTCTAAAGGCCCACACCTGGTTTCTAATAGGGAAAGACGTACAAGAGGCACAGCAAGAACATGCAGCTGTCTCGCATGTTTCTTTTCCTTCCAAAGTCAACTGCAGACGGAGATGTCATAATGTGCGACACGCTGCGCTGGCAGGCCCACCGCTGATGGTTTCCACTTGCACGCCGCTGTGGCCGTGGTTTTCACTGCGAACAGCTCCTTGTCCACGACACTTGTGTTTGCTGATCTTCCTGTGTGTCCCACCTGCAGCCTTTAGCCTAGCACGACGAAAGGTCAAGGATGCTAGGGGAAAAAAAAGATCTTTGTTTTGCTCTTCTAACATGCAAGCACAGCTAGACTCAAAGACAAACTACAGGGCTTTGGGGAAAATAGCACAGCTGTTTGTTTGTTTTGTGCGGTTGTTGCTGTTTTGTTTCTGACTTTAAAAAAATTCTATTTTTAATTTTCTGTTTATGAACAAGATGTCTCGCCATATTCTGGAAGCATGAAGTGTGAGGCTCGTGGTTCTTTGTCTGTCCACAGTTTTCTCTCCAGAACATCGTGTCCTGAAATATTTTTGTAATGTTAAAACCAAACATGCAAATCTAAGAAATAAAAATATATATTTTTAAACTTTTATGGCATTGCAGAAGAATTACCAGTTTGCTGCTGCACTGAGGGGGTGTGTTTTTTATGACCAGTATTCCTCATTTTCGTCAGATTCAAAGCCAATCGCATTGAAAATACCAGGGTATTCATGCAACGAGTCTCAGAGAGCAGCCTCTGCCGCACATAGATAACACAGGGAGCCCAGATGAATGAATGGTGTCATTCATACAGCAGACTGCAAGAGCTTATAAGACATATATTTATATTGGCCAGAACCAGACTGCTGTATAAAAGCATCTTAAAACAAGGAAAATTCATAAAAAACTGGCAAAGTAAATCCTAATGTAATAGTCCATCCAACCATCTTGCTTTTAACACAAAGGTAAAAAACTTAAATGTATGAAAATGATGCTTTGTCAGGTCAATATCAAAAAGAAAGTTTCCACTTATTTCACATTATGAATCTCATACAAATCTCTCAAAAAATTGTATTCATATATATATACAGTACCAAATCCCTCTACAATAATACAGAGCAAAGATCAGACGACTCACTGTGAGCAAGCCCTTGGCAGCAGCGGGAAGGAAAATCTCCCTTTTAACAGAAGGAAACCTCCAGCAGAACCATACATAAATACAGAAATTTTACCTCTTGAAAACTTAGCAAACTTTTTTAATAGTTTTGTGTTGTTGTACTGACCAAGCCTTTGTCTAACTCAGTGGTTCTTAACCTTGTTGGAGTTACCGAACCCCACCAGTTTCTTATGCGTATTCACTGAACCCCTCTTTAGTGAAAAATAAAATAGGATTTTTTTCAAATTCAAGACATAGATATGTTTTTTACTGATGCACAAAATGAGCCATGCATGTCATGGCGGAGGCTCTGCCGAACCCCTGAGACCGACTCACCGAACCCCTAGGGTTCGATCGAACCCAGGTTAAGAACCACTGGTCTAACTGAATTACCAGAATGAAGGCAAATCTATGTAAAACCCCAAGACTTCGTCGATCGTAGCGAGGCAGGTGAAGGAATGCATCTCTGGCAGTGCTCAAATTTCACTAAAATAAAGTACATCCTAAATTAGCAGCATTTATTACACTGAAAGAGCACAAGTACCTTGCTGTGCACCCACAGACAGACACACAGCCAGACACAGCTGAGGTTATAGAGGAGGTCAGGGGAGAACGACCATCTGATGCCAGCAGATGGAGGGATGCAGGGAGGGAGTGGAGGAAGAGGAGAAGCTGCAAATCAGGACGACATGACCGAAAGCTTATCGGCTGTTCTTAAGGCGCTGATTTCACTTCTCATCCTGTTTGCTCCAGCGCACCCACCTTATGTTTATGTTAAACTTTGCAGTAGACGAGATAGTAGCTTACAGAATATATTCCATGAGCGGGAGTGCAAGCAGTGAATAATTAAACTCATGCACTCCAAGATGATTGCTAACAATCCTTTCAATCCATTTGAATCCAATGGCCAAATAAGTTTTAAAAAAGTAGAAAAAAGAGGCTCTCAGGATTCTTCTCTCTGTCATAGCATCCATTTCCCATTCATGCTTCTAAATGAGATGGGGTTTTTTCCCCTTTTGATTTTTCATTTGCCTGGTGCACTTGCCGGACCTGCTGCAGCAGCACTATCTCAGGAACACACTCGCTTCTGTGTCACCTGAAGTCACCTCTATCTCTGTGTGTCTTTGTTGTAGAACGGAGCAGTTCCAGGAGAGCCAGTGAAGAAGGATGAAAACTCCCGGAGAGGGAACTGGGGAAACCAGATTGAGTTTGTCCTCACCAGTGTGGGCTATGCTGTGGGCCTGGGCAATGTCTGGAGGTTTCCATACCTCTGCTACAGAAATGGAGGAGGTAAGCATCACAATGACGACCTGAGCCCATTATCTTTGCATTGACAAACTAAACTACAGTGTACCCATGTTCATAAGATGATACAGACACTGATTTTTATGAAACATCAGAAGCCGCATTTATTATAATTGTTCTATTAATGAGGTCCAGATATGTAAACGAGTGGCAATCAGTGTAGTATGGATATCCTGCTCAGTTTGTTTCTCCAGCCTCATATTAATATTCAGTCTCTCGCCTGTATGGAGCCATCAGAAAGAGAGTAATGACATTACTACATTTGCTGCTCTTCAGCAGACTTCCACACAAAAAGTGGGTTTGAAATCTAGAGAAAATATTTTCTTTCCCAGGCTAAACTGAGGGGCTGCATTCATTTATTTATTTATTTATTTTTGTACATTTAAATGATGACAAATTACTGCACTGGAATACTAGAATGAAACTGTGAAGCTGAAAAGAAGCTTACTATGTATATATCATATATAATTTAAGAATGAATTCTAACTAAAACAAAAGAAAATAGACTTGTGAACCTTTAGACTTGCTTCCCTCTCATACCTTCCTAGCAGGTGTAATATTTCCATATCAGTTATGTACTATTGTTCTGTTTATCGACTTTTATAAACTTATGATGAGCTGTTAATATCTTTAGAGGGAGTGTATTTCTCCTATATTGGCTCCTCATTGGCTCCCTGTTATTACAGGCTCGAAGTTAAAATCCTCCTCCTCACATACAAGTACTGGAATAATGATATCATATTTAAAGACCTCCATAGTACCATGTTATCCTAACGAAGGAGTTTGCTCTCCGACTGCTGAGTTACTTGTGGTTCAGAGGATATTCAAAAGTAGAATGAGATTTCTTTCTGTTAAAAGGGGGTTCCTGTGCATAATATAGGCATGCAGATGGACACAGTCTATAGGTCGAGAACTGAGAAAGTTCGGGTTTTCTCAGGGTTCTTTTTCTGGTTTTTTTGTTGTATTGAGATTGTACTTTGCCATTATATTCTCTACACTGTATATATGATCAGGTGTGTGTCAACTTAGAAATAATTCAGTCGCTCAGAGGCAACACCACTGTTATTTAATCAGATGATGTTAGACAGTGTTTTATTCTTGGTGGATTCAATAGATATGTTTCCTATCATGGCAACTACTGGGTGTTTTCAAACTTGTATTTTGGGTTGTAACCCTAGTGTAGTAAGATACTAAGAATTTATCAGCTGCTGAAAAATCCTCTGTTTGAAACAAGATGGCTCCTCTCCCTTTAAGACCCCCCTTCCTTTAACTTCCTAGGACCTGGCGTCCACATACTGTATGTGGACATCACACTTTGGGTTGTCTAGACCAACATACTAAATTTTGCTCTACAAGGGCCTGCTATCCACTTATGAGGCCGTTATACTGCCACTGTCCTATCGAAATTTAAAGCGAATGTCCTTATATGTGGATCTCATTTTTCTCAGAAACAAAAATCAGAAAAATTACGTAATTCTTTTTTTTTTTTTATATTCAACAGGTCCCAATCAGCCCAAATAGCAAACAGAAATTAAAAATACATGCCATGAAAGAGTTCGGGTCTCAGGAGGTTAAACCTATTTTCTTCTAATTGGCTGCAAAGCCTTCTGTTCTGACTCACGGAAACTATTTTTACATCGTTGTTCGAAGCGTTGTTTAAGTGTTGTTTAAAATGACAATCCAACGCTGTAATCGGATATACAGTTCCAAGAAAAAGTGTTTGAGTTCCAATTTGTTTTGCAAATTAGCCACTCTTACATGTTTCAGATGATCAAACGCTTTTAAATATTAGACAGAGTAAATCCGGGTAAATACAAAATCCTTTTTTGGATTGATGATTTTATTTATTAAGGGGAAAAAAACTTTCCAAACCTGTCTGGTACTGTGTGAAAATGTAATTACCCCCAAACCTAAGAACTAGTGTTTGTGCGTTGGTGATGACTGGGAATGAGTCTTTCACATCGCCATGGAGAAATTTTGTCCCAGGGTTTTTGAGCATGATTGACCTGTTTAAGGTCATGACAAAGAATCTGTATTGGATTTAAGTCCGCACTTTCACTTGGCCACTCCATGTCATTTTGGGTTGTTTAGCCAACTCAAAACCCACTTGTACAAAATAGCTTATCCCACATAACCTTTCCACTCTCCTATTTTATTTGTTTATGTCTTATGCTTTTATGATTCTGTAAACTTCTTGCTTTTATGTTGCTTTTATTCTACTGTGTACAGCGACCTTGAGTGTTTTGAAAGGCGCTTTCAAATAAAATGTATTATTAAATGTATTATTATTCAGAGGTGGTTTGGTTTACTGTCCTGCTGCATAACCCAAGTGTGCAGGCGCTCCAGGGAACAAACTGATGGCCGGATATTCCTCTTCAGGATTTTCAGTAGAGAGCAAAATGCATTGTTCCATCAGTTATGGCAAGTTATCAAAGTCCTGAAGCAGCAAAGTAGCTTCAGACCATCACACTACCACTGAGTGGCACAATAATCAGGTCAGCTCAGACTTTTGAGTAGACTCACTAAACACTCAGTTTCAGTTTTGTGTTTTGTTTTTTCTACTTTTGGCTCCGAGTGATTTCATATAGAGGGGATATAATAATATTGTCTATTATTGTCAGCATACAGCTCTAACTGTAAGCACACAAGGCCCATCCAGCTGCTGTACAAACCTTCTGTTTATGAGGGGCATCCAATCAGAAGACAGTTGGCTTTGACAGAGTTAAAGCAGCTTGTTCCAGACATTGGACGAAATAGGCCCAGCAGTAGATGATTCACATTTAAATCGGGATTCATACTAAGCTACTCTAGCAAAATCCATGAATATAAATATAAAGCTGAAAACAAATATGACTGTTGGTATGATGTTCTTTATATGAAATGGTGGGTTAGTTTTCAACTTTTGTCTCGTCAGTCCACAGAATATTTTCTCACAAGTCTTGGGGAACAGTAAAAAAAAAAAAAATTGTTTTGTTTTTTTTAGCTAATCTGTGGGTAGTTTTCTCTTGGGACATCTCCCATGGATGCCATTTTTGCTGAGACTTTTTTATTTTTGAATCATGAACACTGGCCTTACCTGAGGCAAGTGAGGCCTGTAGTTTTATAGATGTTGGTCTGGGTTCTTTTGTGACCTCCTGGAGGAGTCATCTGTGTACTTTCACTGTAATTTTGGTAGGGCTGCCACTACTGGGAAGGTCCACCACAAAGTTTTCTCCATTTGTGGATATTGGCTCTCACTGTGGCTCCCTGAAGAACCACATCTTTAGAAATGTCTTTGTAACCCTTTCCAGACTGAAAGATGTCAATGACTATATTTCTTAGCTTTCGGATGATGTGTTGCTTTTTGATATCCTTTACCTTGCTTCATTTTGTCAGACAGGTTCTGTTTAAGTGATTTTTTTGATTCAGCAGGTTTGGCAGTTATCAGGCTTTGGTTTGGCTCGTGAAATTGAACTTAACTTTCCAAACAAATGTGATTATTCACAGTTAATTCATGATTAACAAGGGGGAGAAGGTAATTACTTTTTCACATAGGGCCAGGTAGTTTGGATAGTTTTTTCCCTCTTAATAAATGAAATCAAAATTTAAAAGCTGCATTTTATTTTATATATCATATATGCACAAAAAAGGAGAAATCTGGAAGGGGGGAAATACTTTTCCACGGCACTGAATACGTGCCAGTAAAAAGGAAAAGAATAATAGGTCTTTAACAGTTAAACTGGGGTTAGAATCTAAAAAAAAAAGGAAATTTAGCAGATATGATTACTTATTTGTGCTAACATTATTAGCAAGATCTTTTATTGTGTGTATTTGTTTGAGATATAAAGTCAGATCATTGTGCAGGCCGGATGTTTCAAACATATTTCATAGACCTATACTCGGCGCAGCTGTCTTTTTTCCACAATAGCTCACACATTACGTGCTCAACATCAATGCAAAACATCTTTTTAGGCATAAAGGTTTGCAGTTATTGTTTGTTGGGCTGTGATTGCTGTCAAAATATGTCTGAGCACATAGAACAGATCCAGGTGCTGCTGCTGTTATGCTGCTTTCATAATAAAGCTACCGTATTCAGTGCGTAAGAACATCGTGACAGCAAAATAAGCTCTTTTGTCAGTATTTTGCTCCCTACTCTGATGCATCCTAAAAGCTGTGGATTAAACATTAAACAGCCTAAATTGTGTTTTAAATACCTTGCATCTTCCTTTGAAAACATGCGCAAGAATTGTACCAAAGTGAAAAGCAGCAGTGTTGGTCCAGTTCTCCTCACTCAGTGCTTGATTTCCTTGGCATGACCCCAGCTGCAGATAATAAGCCTACAGTGCAAATATTTGGATTTGTGTCATGCATGCAGGAGCCTTGAGTTCCTGCGCAAGGACTTTGTATATGGAGGCCATGCATTAGCTCAACACACAGCTGCAGTGACCGTTCACTTTATCAGCAGTGAAAAGGTTTGGACCGTATCAGCTGGTTGCACCAACATAGTTCACATGTGGAGTATCTTATGAAAGCATACTAGCACGTGCACACACGCACAGATTGTCCCTCTAGTTGACCGTCTGGTTTTTGGTCCAGTCTGAACCACCAGAGAGTTGCTGCACTGCTGAACAGACATTTAGTGACCTCTCTGCTCACTCTAGGGAGGTTATATAACAGATGAAATTCATTTGCTTTTTAAAAAAATAATAATAATAATTTCAGGTTCAGTTATAAGTCTGTATGGCATGGGTCCAATTCATGTAAGACTTGATTTGGTTAAGTTTTAAATTGCACGTCATTGCTTACACGTAAGTATTTTAAACCGTATAATAGCACAGCCTGTTTTTAATGACAACATATGGTCCATTGTGCCTCTCTGGCTTGTAGCTGGAGAGCCTACCTATGTAGAATACTTATAGACTACGTCTGCCAGCTTATATAATGTGCCTGATTTCTTTTGTCTGCTGGTGTCTGTGGACTTGGCATCTCTGCAGTAATTATGCTCATCTGGCTCCATGGTAGTTATTATCTTTGTCAGGTAACAGAATAGGAGGCAGCTGACTTTTGTTTGCCTCGTAGGTTTGGATATTTTTGTCACGACTAACACAAAAAGTGTTCTCACAACAACACAGTAATTTGTACAGACCATGCATCTAGCTGTTTAAGAGTTTGCTAGCAACAAAACACTGAATAGGGCACCATTTATATCAGAGGGGACGAGCTATGCTTGTCTTCATTTTCTCTCATATATCTTAATAGCTCTAACTGTAAGCACACAAGGCCCATCCAGCTGCTGTAATCAGAAGACAGTTGGCTTTGACAGAGTTAAAACAGCTTGTTCCAGACATTGGACGAAATAAGGCCACCAATGCCCAGCAGTAGATGATTCACATTTAAACTGGGATTCATACTAAGCTACTCTAGCAAAATCCATGAATGTAAATATAAAGCTGAAAACGAATATGACATGTCCCTTTAAATCAATGTGTTCGTGTATCCTTCCAGTCTTTCTGGACCAGAGAAATTGACTTCCTGGTTAATTTTCTCCTCCAGGTGCCTTCATGCTGCCATACTTCATCATGCTTGTGTTCTGTGGCATTCCACTCTTCTTCCTCGAGCTCTCCTTTGGTCAGTTTGCCAGCTTGGGCTGTTTGGGGGTTTGGAAGATCAGCCCCATGTTTAAAGGTAAGTATATGCGTGTGTATGTCTTTGTGTGAATATTGATTTTATTGTTCATATGAAAATTTAATTAGGCAGCAGTAGTTACATCCACTTCACATTTTAGTTTCTAATGTTCTCTACCTGGTTATCTTTTTCTCTCCATCCTGTCCTACCTTTAGGCGTGGGCTACGGCATGATGGTGGTGTCCACCTACATTGGGATATACTACAATGTGGTCATTTGCATTGCCTTCTACTACTTTTTCTTGTCCATGACAAACCTGCTTCCATGGACTTACTGCAACAACCCGTGGAACACGCCAGACTGCAGCGGTGTCGTTAGCAGTTACCAGTTGAACGCTAGCCTGGCAAATGCTACCAGTAGCTTGGTAGCTGGGGTGTCTGAGGTAGTGAACCGGACCAAGAGGACCAGCCCAAGCGAGGAGTACTGGAAGTAAGAACAGGAAGTATATGATGCACTTAGGCTGACACTAAAAATACAGTTAAACCAAAAGTTTTTCTCTGCGAAGTAGTACTATATATAAAATAAATCAGGAATGCTTGCTCATGCAATGATTGAGTTTTGTAATGCACTTTGTTTTGCCGAGTTATACCAGTAACCTCTTAGAACCTGGTTGTGTAGGCCTATCATTCTTAACAGAGGTCGAAATTGACTCGGACCTATCAGATAAGTTTGACTCAAAGAGGCCTCATGTTTGCAGAAAGTATTCAAATATTTGGACTAGATCTGACTGGACTAGCAGAAGTTTCTGTACAGTGTTGGGTCTGCATCATCTCAGCTGACATGCAGGGTGTTTACCATACCCCTGCGCACTCTGTTGTGCAGCACAGTCACAAAAATCTGCATAAAGTAGGAGATCTTTAAGCAGATATCCAGGTACATCTACTGTTGTGCAGGCTTTGCTATGTTATGTAAAAGTGAGAGTGGTGTATATGCATCAATTATCAGGGATGTGACAATGCTAGAAATCTGGTGGTTTGCATTGTAGAGTGTGCATAAACCACGAGGTTAGTAGCTGGCTTCTGGAAATTGCATTTTGTCTCAACTTTAGCATTTTGACTCTTACTATGTTAGAGGCCGTACCGTACTATATATAATATATATTATACTGGCAGATGCTGCTTGTGTAAGAACAACTATCAGTCACAGTAGCCATCGGTACCCAAAAAGATGAATTAAAAAAATAAACTCAAACAGCATACAGTTATGATGGGGAAAGGCTGGAAATGTGCTTTTAATCCTATGGTGACTGACCTGACACTCCAGGAACTACAGATTTTGGCACTTCCGCGTTGGCTTCAGTTTTTGCCCTCACAGTTTGTTGCACAGGGAGCAAAAGTGTAAGAGAAATATCACGATTTTAATTACTAAAGTTGAGGTAGACCTGTCCTGCACCTGCCGCTGCCATTCCACATATTGTTATTGTACAGGATCTCTAGTGCTTGCAGAAATCTCCAAAAGCATTGGTACTTTCAGTAGCATTTCACTGTCAACTTCTTTAGAATTTTATCATCATTTTTGTGCCAGTGTAGCAGTTCCTGTGGCATTCGCATCACTTAACATCCATAATTAGTAGCATTAATATAGGCCATCAAAGTGGAAGTCAGAGTGTTGTCATTATCTGCTGCCTCTTATTCAAATGTGCTGCAGAAGGAGCAGCCCTGTAACTGCACTCCCTGATGCTTTTCTTGGCATTTTAATGACAGAGGGTACATATGATTATGTAATGTGGGACTGCTCAGCTTGTCGGTACAGACTACCTGTTCATTACTAATTACAATACCACATATAATACCATTTCAGATTGATGAATCTGTTTGATCACAAGATACAAGGTTTTTGTGGCTCTGCTTAAAGTTTTCTATTATCTATGTGCTGAAGACTGTTGATAGAGTGCAAAGCTGGGCTTTTTTTCCTCTTTCAGAGTTTTCTTCTCTTGCACAACTTTAGTCAGACGTGTAAATGTAAAGTATTTAAAGCACCTGAAACCTTCTCTGTCTGTGTGTCTGTCTATCAGACACTATGTGTTGAACATCTCTGATGATATTGGGAACTTTGGAGAGGTCCGTCTCCCTATCCTGGGATGCCTGGCTGTATCCTGGGCTGTTGTCTTCCTCTGTCTCATCAGGGGCGTTAAATCCTCTGGAAAGGTGAGCCTAGAGCACACGCACATGCACACACACACCCTGGCTTGATGGCATTTTAAGGCGCTTGTGTATAGGATGATTTTATCAGCTTGTGTGATCATCTGTGTGTTCAGGTGGTGTACTTCACAGCCACATTCCCTTATGTTGTTCTGACTATCCTCTTCATCCGTGGCATCACCCTGGATGGAGCCATCAACGGCATCAAGTACTACCTGACTCCACAGTGGCAGAAAGTCCTTGATGCAAAGGTATGCACTTCCATTAGCATGTAGATAAATGAGATGTGCTGGATGTAGAAATGTTTCTGAACTGGGTTTTTTCCCCCCCATCTTTGTACTGCCTCTGACAGTTTGTGGGTTTGTTTGTGTAGGTGTGGGGAGATGCCGCCTCACAGATCTTCTACTCCTTGGGTTGTGCCTGGGGTGGTCTCATTACCATGGCTTCATATAACAAGTTCCACAACAACTGTTTCAGGTTGGTAAAGATGATGAGTAAACTCATTATAAGCTATGCTTTAAATAAAAAAGAATACACATTCAGGGCCAGGCGATGATGAGTTACTAAGCAAGAAATTCTGAGGAAAAGACTTTGCTTTGTCTAATGGGATTACACACCTATAAAAACATTACCACGATATAGGTTTGGTTTTGTCATTGTGGTGAGTGCTGTGCTGAGTATAACTCGCTCTGGGAAAAAAGCCTGACTTTATTTGAGTTTATGCATCAGATGACCTAATGAGTCAGAGCAAGAGCTAAGGAGCAACTATGAGCAGTGGGGTAAAATAGTCATTCGCAAAAAGAGAAGGTGAGGTAAGTGGGCACAGAGATAAATGCTCTTTTGGACTTGTGTTAGGAGGCTGGTTGCCATGTGCTTGAACACCAGGGGAGCGTGCAAGAAGCCAAAGAGAAGGTGAAGATGGAGGAAAAAGGACAGAGAAGGAGATAAGGAGGGAAAACGATGTCATTTACTCTCCTGAGCTTGTCCACACATGCTGATGGAGTGAGGGTGTCGGTGGAGGGGGCTAAGGAGAGAAGCTAAAGATATAATGTGTTCCTCTGCCAGAAGCTTGAAGTTGTGCTATCAGTGCACACAGCTGCACGGCAACTTAATCAGCTTGTGTTCTGCAGCTCCATCCCTGGTGGAGATGCTTTTTGCACTCCTGTAACACCACCAGTTGGTGCGCATGCAGAAGTGCAGATAGAGTGGGATCGAACAGAATCCGTATGCGTGGGGAAACGGACTGGCATCAAAGTGATCAAAGACATCCTCTGCGGTAACCTTAACAGGAAATGTGAGAAAGGAAAGCAGTGTGGAAACACAGTATTCCCTTGTTTAGATCTGAACACGGTCAAAGTCCGAGTCTGTGTCGGAGGAAGAGAAGATGAAAAGGTGTTTCCCGGGCAACAGTAGGATGTCAAAAAAAGAGCAGAAAACCAGCACTAGTGTATTAGTGTAAACAGAGTAAATGAGCTTAGGAACACTATCCTGACTCATACATCGGGCCTATTAAGACTAATGAAGCCATCTTCTATATTAATTCACGGTTTTATTAAACACTGATATTTCAGCAGACAGATCGAGATCAGCTGATCCCATTTGTTTTTCTTTAACCATTTAAAATGTGTTCGGTATGTATTCATATAATTGGCTTTGTTCTTTGTTCCTTTCAACATACAGAGACAGCATCATCATCAGTATAACCAACTGTGCCACCAGCGTTTATGCTGGCTTTGTCATTTTCTCCATCCTGGGCTTCATGGCACACCACCTCAACGTCCCCGTGTCAGAGGTGGCTGACCACGGTCCGGGGCTGGCCTTTGTGGCCTACCCAGAAGCCCTCACTCTGCTTCCAATCTCGCCGCTGTGGTCGCTGCTTTTCTTCTTCATGCTCATCCTTCTGGGACTGGGAACTCAGGTGAGAGCAAGAAACTGCAGCGTCACGCACCGCTCAAAGATTTCATTATGAACTGTGTGAAATCATATAATTAATTTCTTAATTAAGCTTAGTAATCAGTATAAATAATTAATATGCATTGACCTTGTGGATATAATTAATTAAACATTACACTAAATGTGTATGGAGACAGACGTATAGATAGGTGACTGTATATGTGCAGTCATTAGTATAGATTGTTTTTCATGTTTTCAGCTGGAGCGGTCTACCAAATTCCAGTTTACCTTCAAACAACAAAACAACGTGCAAATGCTGTCTTTAGTCCATATTTGTTGCATGCTGAGTGAACCTCCATGCTGATACTCTAAATAGACCAAATAAACTCACTGGAATGAGAACTGACTGGAATTGTTTGCGTGGGGAAATCAGGATTAGATCTGATCTGGATCTGCTGATGTGTAATGCTAAAAAGCTTACAAGTCATTTACAGTCAACAGTTAGTCTGCCTGTGTGCCACGTTTTTCATTGCTGACTCAGGGAGACTATAGGTGCTGTTTGTAGGTATAACTTAGATGCTATATTTTTGAAGTGATTGTGGACCCGTAGCTACAAAATTATATTCCTGTTAAAATGAGATGGTGAACATTATGTCCCACTAAATAATAGTGTTTGAATTTAATAGACGTAACCTCTCATAACCCTGATTCCAAGTTTGGACTTACTAAACTGCTAAATATTTAAAATAAAGGAGTGGCATGCTCTGTGGTCTTCTGCTGCTAACCATTTGCATCTTACTTCATTATATATTTAGGTGAAACTGGGAAATTTGTATCTGGAATGATGTATTTGATGCCAGCAAAACAAAACTATCGAGTGGAAAGAAGCTGAAATGGAGTGATTCAGAAGTAAAGATGGGCGTTCACCCTCCTTAACATTTCTCAATGTAAAGTTAATCAGTGACCGTGGCATCAGTGCTATTAATGCTAAAGGATATATTCAAGTTTGGAGCAACATATGCTGCTATCCAGGGGACATCTGTGGCAGGGATGGGCTTGTTTATTTCATCAAGATAACATGCACAGCACATATTACAGTGCAGCTCTGAACTGTTAAGCTGCTGAAATCTTATATTAAGCAATACACTCAACAGCCACTTTGTTAGGTGCACCAACTGCTCATTAACGCAATTGTTTAATCTGCTAATCACACGGCAGCATTTAGGCACGAGCACATGGTCGAGACATCTTGCTGACATTCAAACCAAGCATTCGAATAGAAAAGAAAGGCCATTTAAATGACTTTAAATGTGGCATAGCTGTTAGCCAGATAGGCTGGTTTGAGGATTTCAGAAACTGGAGATCTGCTAGGATTTTCCAGCACAAGCATCTCTGTAAAGGATGGTCCATAAAAAAGAAAATATCCAGTAAGCAGCAGCTTTCTGGGCAAAAATCCCTTGTTTGATGTCAGAGGAGATTGGGCAGATTCAAGCTGATGGACAGGCAACAGTAACTAAAATAACTACTCATAACAATCATGGTATGCAGAAGAGCGTCTCTAAATGGCCAACACATTGAAGCAGATGAGCTCCAGCAGATTGGCCAGCACAGAACTGGAAAAATAGTCTGAGTCTCATTCAGTCGGTAGTGTCACAATTTGGTATAAACAAGATGAAGGCACCAGCATCCTGCCAGTGTTTCAGGCTGCTGGTGGTGCAGTAATGGTATGGGGGATATCTTCTACGCACACTGAGCATTGTTTAAATGCAACAGCCTACAGTAGTATCATTGCTAACAATGTCCATCCCTTTATAGCCACAGTCCATCAATGTGGCTATAGTCAGCATGAAATTGAGTCCACTTCACCTCCACTGAGTATTTCCTTGTTGAATCTGTGCCATGAAAAATTTTGTTGGTTGTGAAGGGAAAAGGGGGTCAAACCTGATACTTACTGCCTAATAATGTGGCCACTGAGTGTAGAACAGGAAAACATTTGGCTGTAGAAATTGCTTGTGTGTACTTGACTTTTTCAGAATCAGGGTTGTAGTACTATTCTAACCTTTTAGCCAGTATGAATAAGAGGTGTTTTATTTATTTGACTTTCTGCGTATTTTTGGTAAAATATAGACATTATGCTTCAGAGGTGGTTTTTTACTTCCATATATTGAATATTTACAGATTAAATTCACAGTACAGTGGATATATATGTGGCTGGTCTTAAGGAATGCTGTAATAAACCAATTGTATTTCATTAAAAAATACATTTAAATAGACAGGACAATGAAATTGAGGAATTTTTATTCTCACAATTACTCAACAATGGATTATCCCTTTGGTCAAGATTCCTTTTGGTCTGTCGTCATGTAAGCAGAAGTTTGAGCAAGAATTCATCTCCTGTCAAATTCTTTTCCCTGTTCATGTAGTTCTGTCTGCTGGAGACCTTAGTGACGGCCATCGTCGATGAAATTGGTACAGACTGGATCATCAAGAACAAGACCGTAGTCACGCTGTCAGTGGCCATAGCTGGTTTTCTACTGGGAGTGCCGCTAACGACACAGGTACAAACATATGGAGAGCACATCCTTAAACACAATCACTCTCTCACTGGACTGATGTTTTTTACTCATTCTGTGTGTGTGTGTGTGTGTGTGTGTGTGTGTGTGTGTGTGTGTGTGTGT